TGGATATTCAGGAGACTAATCCAGGATACTGATATAATGGATACTGATATAATGTTTATTGAAGTTTGGAGTTTATTCTTTATTTGACTTAATTTTGCATGCAAGGGGCTCATACTAGAATAATTTGGGTCATCTCATTGTTCCCCCAGCTCCCATCAATGGGCAGTGGTTGGCAACTCTAATTATATAATATTGGGCAAAAATACTACTGTCTGCTCCTCCACCAATTAGCTTTGGGTACTGGATATAAGTAGGTGGATAGACATGCTGATGGATAGATAGATAGATAGATAGATAGACAGACAGATAGATAGATAGATAGATAGATAGATAGATAGATAGATAGATAGATAGAATTTTACATTTATTTAAAATAATAAATACATCAAAATTTGCTCTTCTTTTGTTTATGTGATAAGAATAATAGCTAACTTTTACTAAAAACAAAAACAGTAAAGAAAAACAAATCACAATAATACAAATAATAAATGGTAATGCTTTAAAACAAACAAAAAAAGTTTTCTTTAATACTCTTCAAGCATGTTTAGTTGGAAATGCCAGTTACAATTTTATTGAACTTGCAAAAAAAAAAATAGTTACTGCAGGGAAAAATAAACATGAATTAAAAAGAAAACCCCTCGCTATTGAAGTTGTAAAATGAATTAGCTAAGGGCTAGGAAAGCTGCAGAGCTAGTAATAAAATTTAAAAACACTGGTTCTCTTTTGCATCTTTGATACCAATGCATAAATTTGTTATGATGCCCTGTACTCATATAACATAAATGTTGTTTTAATAAGTTCCTTACTTTTATAGTATCTTTAAATATCTATTATTTTATCTCTGAAATAAAATAAATTTATAAAGAGCCTAAGAGGATTTCAGTATATAGGCTAGAGTTTAAAAGGAAACTAAAATGTCACGTATGCACAGGACTTACCAGAATTTGAAATAGGATTATAACGTGCAAGGTGATGCTTTGTAGATACAGCATTGTTAAACATATAAAATTGTCAGCACAAATGCCAGTTTGGTCATACGTGATGTAACTAAATATCATAGCTCTGGAATGGAATAGAATTTTGAAAAAATATTGTCTGGCTGAGCTTATTCTGAGTTTATTTTCAAAAACATTTGGGTTTTATTGTTTACCATTTAGTATGAGCGATAGATGGTCTACATGGCCAGCTGGCAAGTGTTTGGGCTGTCAGAATGAACTGTGAGTTGAAGAGTTGGAAATATAATTGAGAGGTATCAGTCACTTGATCTCAAAGGAACAAATAATACTGTTGGTATGCTGCACTCTTTCAAGCTCAATATATTTAGAATTGAGAGATATTTTAATAAACTTCAAATATCTTTTACTGCATTGTCAATCTATGATATATTCCAATGAAGCTTATTGAAGATGTTTTTTGACTGTACTTCACATAATCCACATTCAAACATTGGGTTTATTGGCTGAACAGAAACTTATTGATCAAGGTAAAACAAATTCATTCAATTAAGGCCAAAATTGTCTGCTGGATAAATTCCTCATTCCAGCCAAATACTCAAAGTCCAATTTAGAACACGTTGCCACATATATAGGACAAAAAATGAATATACAGTTGATGGGAAAACCATTAACTTCAGATTCAGTTGGATTTTCCATTTGAAAATGCAACCACAATATCTTCTACTTTCCTCCTCTATTTCACACAAAGGAAATGGAATTGTTCACAAAAAGCACAGGTGTCCTCCATACTCTTTTCTCAGTGGCAAAATAGTGTAGATCCCACATATACTATCTTACAGCTCAGTGCTTTGGATGAGTAGACAGGAACTAGGTATGTGACATCTACATTTATTGCACTATGCAACATTGCATTTAAAACAAATAAGTTACATACCTGTCATGAAAGATCTAATATGCAGTGTGTATACAAATAAACAAATAAACGTATACCAGACCTTAGAGTGGTCATGCTAACTTTAGCAAGGACATAGAATAAGCAAGAAATCAGAATAAGCAAGAAGGGACAAACCGAGTCAGAGGAAAGGAGAAAGGACATTAGTCAGGACACAGCCAAAGCCAATAACCAGGTAAGCTAACAAAATAAAACGCTATGTGGAACAAAGAAACTTTGAACCACAACAGGGCAATGATCCAAGCCATTGAGCCCTTTTTATAGTGTGGCACTTTAAGTTGGTAGCCACGCCCCCAAAACCTTCAAATTTGAATGTTTCAGTGGGCCCTGACGTCATTGACATCCACATGGAAGAGGTCCCCAGGCTGAGTTCTAGCCTGACAACACACAACAGGTACCCTGACAATACCATGGTATTGATATTACTACAAATTCATAACAAAATATGTTCAATTTCACCGCCTTTGCAAATTATACAATGCAGGATTACATCTAACTACATTGTCTTGAGAGACAACTTTAGTCATATAAACATGTGGGCAGTGTAAAAATGATGAATGCTACATTTATACAAAGAGTAAAGTTGAGCGGACACCTGGATGTTCGGGTCTGGCGGGTTCGGCCAAACTTTGAAAAAAAGCCCGGGTTCGGGATCGAACTTGACCCCGAACTTGACCGCAAAACCGAACCCCATTGAAGTCAATGGGGACCCGAACTTTTGGGCACAAAAATGCCTCTAAAAAACTAATGGAAAGGGCTAGAGAGCTGCAAAAGGAAGTAAAATGGGGGTAAGAGTAGGACAAGTGACCTGCACACAAATGTGGATAGGGAAATCACTTAAAATAACATTAAAATTAAAAATACAGCTGAGACATAAAATAGCACTAGATGGAATCTTTGATTTTAGCTTTGAAAGAACATAAATCAAAATCTAAAGCATGGCTGTCAGGAGGATCAACAGAATTATCCATTTGAGAGAGGGTTGGAGTGCAGGATATTCTCTTTCATTGTTCAAACTGAGCTCAACTCCTGATGCATGGAGAAAAGACTTTCACAAGCCTCTGCTATTGTGTACATAGTTTATACTAAGTGACCCATAGGTCGAGGAGGCAGTGACCGTGGCAGTGTAGGTGGAAGCAGCAGTGGAGGAGAAGGATGAGGTAGCCAACACTGTATTTTATATATATTTTTTTTTTAATTGTGGTAGCCTACAAAATATTGGGACATACAAAAAAAGAAACATTTGCAGCCTGAGGTGCATTTCTTGCAGTCCTGATTCATGGAAAAATGCTCAACTACTGATGCTTCACAAACCTCTGCTAATGTGCACATAGTTTATACTAAATGACCCATAGGTTGAGGAGGTGGTGACCGTGGCGGTGTAGGTGGAAGCAATGGTGGAGGAGGAGGTAGCCAACACTGGTTTTTCTGTTTGTTTTTTTTTTTTTTAATTGTGGTAGCCTACAAAATATTGGGACATACAAAAAAAGAAACATTTGCGGCCTGCGGTGCATTTCTTGCAGTCAAGATGCATGGAAAAATGCTCAACTCCTGATGCATGGAGAAAAGGCCTTCACAAGCCTCTGATAATGTGTACATAGTTTATACTAAATGACCCATAGGTTGAGGAGGCGGTGACCGTGGCGGTATAGGTGGAAGCAGTGGTGGAGGAGGAGGTAGCCAACACTGGTTTTGATGGGTTTTTTTTTTTTTGATTTCGGTAGCCCACAAAATATTGGAACATACAAAAAAAAGAAACATTTGTGGCCTGCGGTGCTTTTCTTGCAGTCCAGATGCATGGAGAAATGCTCAACTTCTGATGCATGGAGAAAAGGCCTTCACAAGCCTCTGCTATTGTGCACATAGTTTATAATAAGTGACCCATAGGTTAAGGAGACGATGACCGTGGCGGTGAAGGTGGAAGTGGCGGTGCAGGAGGAGGATGAGGTAGCCAACACTGTTTATATATAAATCTATTTTTTTTATTTTAATTAGGGTAGCCCACAAAATATTGGGACATGCAAAAAAAGAAACATTTGCGGCCTGTGGTGCATTTGTTGCAGTCCTGATGCATGGAGAAATGCTCAACTCCTGATGAATGGATAAAAGGCCTTCACAAGCCTCTGCTAATATGTACATAGTTTATACTAAGTGACCCATAGGTTGAGGAGGCGGTGACCGTGGCGGTGGAGGAGGAGGATGAGGTAGCTAACACTGTTTATATATATATATATATATATATATATATCAAAAATACATTGATCCTGATGAAAGTCTTATATGACTGAAACGTTGATCATTTGATGTTTTAAACCGTTTTTTCATTAAACTTTGGACTTTTAAACCATGAGTGCAGCCATACATTTAGATTTTCTTATATATATATATATATATATATATATATATATATATATATATATATATATTAATTGGGGTAGCCCCCAAAATATTGGGACATATAGAAAAGACAACTCTTAGGTAAACTAGAAAAATGGTCAGCATTGTGGCAAATGACATTTAATGTGGATAAGTGCAAGATAATGCATCTTGGACGTAAAAACCCAAGGGCAGAGTACATAATATTTGAAAGAGTCCTAACCTCAACATATGAGGAAAGGGATTTAGGGGTGATTATTTCTGATGACTTAAAGGTAGGCAGACAATGTAATAGAGCAGCAGGAAATGCTAGCAGAATGCTTGGTTGTATAGGGAGAGGTATTAGCAGTAGAAAGAGGGAAGTGCTCATGCCATTGTACAGAACACTGGTGAGACCTCACTTGGAGTATTGTACACAGTACTGGAGACCGTATCTTCAGAAGGATATTGATACCTTAGAGAGGGTTCAGAGAAGGGCTACTAAACTGGTTCATGGATTGCGGGATAAAACTTACCAGGAAAGGTTAAAGGATCTTAACATGTTTAGCTTGGAGGAAAGACGAGACAGGGGGGATATGATAGAAACATTTAAATATATAAAGGGAATCAACACAGTAAAGGAGGAGACTATATTTAAAAGTAGAAAAACTACCAGAACAAGAGGACATAGTCTTAAATTAGAGGGACAAAGGTTTAAAAACAATATCAGGAAGTATTACTTTACTGAGAGGGTAGTGGATGCATGGAATAGCCTTCCAGCTGAAGTGGTAGAGGTTAACACAGTAAAGGAGTTTAAGCATGCGTGGGATAGGCATAAGGCTATCCTAACTATAAGATAAGGCTAGGGACTAATGAAAGTATTTAGAAAATTGGGCAGACTAGATGGGCCGAATGTTTCTATGTTTCTATGTAACTCTGTTCCGCAGGGTAGCTGTTGACATTATAGTTGCGCAGGCACTTTGTTGACTCTAGAGAACCTCGGGACAATCGCACATCCCTGTGACGGCGACTTTGCATTTGGATGTCATCCTTATCAACTTTCGATGCCAGTTTCTGCGCCTACCATGGGGACCACGGGTAACGGGGAATCAGGGTTCCATTCCATACAGGGACCCCGAGAAACGACTACCACATGCAAGGAAGGCAGCAGGCGCGCAAATGACCAACTCCCGACGCGGGAAGGTAGTGACGACAAATAACAATACAGGACTCTTTAGAGGTCCTGTAATTGTAATGAGTCCACTTGAAATCCTTTAATTCTGATCAATTGGAGGGAAGTCTGATGCAGAGCCACTGACCCGTGAGTGCTACAGCTGAAACTCTACTATCGCCTGCTGCTGCTCGCACAGTCTCATGAGCGGGAAGCCCGAAGTTACGCTGCAGCGCAGACAGGTGAGCAGCAGCAGGGTGAGAACGCCAAAAGCACAGTGAATGTCACATCCTGTTCCAAGTTGCGGATCAGTCTGTTGATGGCTTCTGGTATCCAGTACTCTTTTTACTGAAGCTGCATCAGGGTCCTGGTATGGGACCGCACAAACGCTGGTGGGGGCATGTGGTTACCCTGCTCCAGACCCTGCTAATCCATTCCACACTGTGACTCCTAACTTCAACATCAGGTATACTGGGTCCCACCTGACTGTAAAAACTACGAATGCATCATTAAAGCTAGTACGAACCCGAACTTTGCAGTTCGGGTTCGCTCAACTCTATTATGTATCCTTTGATCGCTACATGTATTACTTGGATAACTGGTAATTCTCAAGCTAATACATGCTGACGAGCGCTAGGGGACGGCCCCTCCGCTTTTGCACCCTGCTCCCTCTTATGCTGTGCTGGTGCCTCTGTGTGACCAGCGCCTCTTCCTACAAACTGCACACGTCACTCGCATGACCTTGATTCCATGTGGGGTCTAAGATCTCATCATCCTCCACATCATCTTTCACCCACTCCTCAACCCTGCCCTCCTTGCAGGTATGCACACTGCACAAAGTCTGCAAAGGACAGATGGAAATTGTTTTAGAATTGTATCCAGGCAACAGTTTTCCCTATAAACCTCTCAGTTTGACTTGTGAGGGTATTGCCCCAGAATTACAATATTGTTTAAGTACCTCTTAGCTATTGATAACTGGTTTAAATATAGCAGCTTGTTATCTGGTAGTTTATTGTGTAGAAAATATCAATCTGTTTTCTATCACTTAGATCAGTGTAACAAGTTTTGTAGGTATGAAACAATATTACAAGTGACCGATGTAGTAAATTTGAATCAAAGTTATGCTTCGATTTGACTCTCAGATATGAAGTGAACACCCCAAATATACTATTTAGCACCAAAAAACAAATATAACCTTTTTAAAACTGTAATTGTAAGCAGCAGATTAGCAGCAAAACAATTAGAATGTTTACAACTGCGCAGTAAGTGCACTATTTGACGTTTCTATTTGACTCTCAGATATGAAGAGCAGGCCCCAGAATGTGCTATTTATCAGATTAGAAAATAAGAACGTTTACCACTGCGCTGTAAGCACACTATTAGATGCTTCTATTTGACTCTCAGATATGAAGAGCAGGCCACAAAATGTACTATTTAGCAGATTAGCAGCAAAACAATTAGAATGTTCACAACTGCACAGTAAGTGCACTATTTGACACTTCTATTTGACTCTCAGATATGAAGTGCACTGCAGGCCGCAAATGTACTATTTAGCAGATTAGCAGCAAAACAATTAGAATTTTTACAGCTGCGCTGTAAGCGTACTATTTGACGCTTCTATTTGACTCTCAGATATGAAGAGCAGGCCCCAAAATGTACTATTTAGCAGATTAGCAGCAAAACAATTAGAATTTTTACAACTGCGCTGTTAACCCACTATTAGACACTTCGATGTGACTCTCAGATATGAAGTGAACACCCCAAATATACTATTTAACACCAAAGAAAAAAATTGACTTTTTAAAACTCCAATTTAAGCAGCAGATTAGCAGCAAAACAATTAGAATGTTTACAACTGCACAGTAAGCGCACTATTTGACATTTCTATTTGACTCTCAGATATGAAAAGCAGGCCCCAAAATTTACTATTTAGCAGATTAGCACCCAGAAAATAAGAATGTTTTTCCACTGCGCTGTAAGCACACTATTAGATGCTTCTATTTGACTCTCAGATATGTACTATTTAGCAGATTAGCAGCAAAACAATTAGAATGTTTACAACTACACAGTAAGTGCACTATTTGACACTTCTATTTGACTCTCAGATATGAAGTGCACACCCCAAATATACTATTTAGCAACAAAAAAAAAATTACTTTTTAAAACTCCAATGTAAGCAGCAGATTAGCAGCAAAACAATTAGGATGTTTACCACTGCGCTGTAAGCACACTATTAGATGCTTCTATTTGACTCTCAGATATGAAGTGCACCCCACTAAAATATTATTTAGCAGTTTAGCACCCCAAAATTTTTAAGTTTTAAAACTGCAATGTGACAGCAGTATTTGACGCTTCTATTTGACTCTCAGATATGAAGTGCACCCCACTAATGTACCTTTTAGCACCCAAAAACATTTACTTTTTAAAACTCTGATGTAACCGCTGTATTTGAAGCTTCTATTTGACTCTCAGATATGAAGTGCACCCCACTAAAGTACTAGTTTGCAGAATTCTTTCCTAAGCTGTCCCTCACAGCTGCAGCATCCTCTCCCTACACTAATAAGAGCTCATGTGCTTGCGGCGCTACGCGACTCCAGCTTATATATAGAGGCTGGGTCACATGCTGCACTGGCCAATCACAGCCATGCCATTAGTAGGCATGGCTGTGATGGCTTATAAGGGAACACAAGTCAAACGCTTGTTGATTGGCTGCCTTGCAGCCTTTGAAAACGCATCATTAAATCGAACACCGAACTCCAACCCGAACATACAGTGATATGTCTGTGTTCGGGTCCGGGGTCCAAAAAACTTTACAGTTCGGGTTTGCTCAACTCTAACAGAGAGCAAAAATCATAAATGTTTATGCACATGTGAAATTAGTGAACAAAAACCTATAATGTTACACACAAAACTCCATGCAATTCTTATGAAACCATACACTGCAGTATTGAACATGAGTAATTTACCTGTGAAACAAAGTAGCTATGCAGGTTGTTCTGTTTTGGCCTACATTAGTTTTGGTTTTCAGCACAACTGCTTACAATGCAGTGAAAAGTGGGGTGTCCCAAATATCTACTTCTGGAAATACAAGTCAATGTACATACAGGGTTGTTGTAAAGTTTGAAATGGTCCAATTGTATCAATAAAGGCTGATTATGAGCTTGTTCTTAGTATTTCAGGTTGAAGAAAGATGTATCTGTTTTGCCTCTCCCTCCAAAAATACAGAATCTTTTTAGATTTCTAGAAAAGTTTGTCTTGGAGGACAGTAATATTAAATCAGCTAGTACCTTATTATAGCAGCTCATTAAATCGAAGACTTAGTTTGGAAAGACATGTACTACAAGTGAAACTGCATTTGTAATGTGAAGAAGTTTCAACATTTGAAGATTGTAGGCTTGAAAATCCTGTAAGCATCTTTTGTTAAATGTCCTTTGTTAATTAACCTACAATAGGCAAAATAGGATGTCAGAGATAATAGATCTTTTTTAATGATTCACTGCTAATGAGAGTTCATACAAGAGTATAATAAAAGTCATATTCCTTTGTCAATAGAAAGGACAGCTAAGATACCAATGACTACGTAACAAGAGAGATGTGAGAATTTCAACCAGTCAGTAATTCAACCATGAGCAATTTTGTCATCTAAAATATACTTTCTTGCCAGGATGCATATTTAATTCTTAATGCTACAATATTTTTCAAGAGTTTGTAATACAAAACATAAAGTTCAAAAGAGATTCTGAAGAACACAACATACTATTTATAATGAATAAGTGTGTTATGAGGTAGTCACATTGTGATATAAATAGTTATTTTTACTCAGCATATCAATAGCTGTGCTACTGAAGTTATGACTTATCTCTACTATCTATATAAATTTCTAGCCTGGATGTCCAGATCCAAATTTCAAAAATACAGTTTTGTTTTTTTTGTTTTCTGTTTTTTATTTTGTTTTTTTGCTTGTTTTTTTGGTTCCCTATCATATCTCACTTCATTGAATAACTTAAATATTGTTTGTTATCTATCTATCTATCTATCTATCTATCTATCTATATATATACATATATATATATATATATATATATATATAACATATATATATATGTATATATATATATATATATGCGCACTGTAGTATTCTTAGTATATATACAAAAAATAGATCATTTATATTTCAATTGCAGAACTTGCTGTTAGAATTTATATTAGTAAGTAGATAGTTGTGCTTATTACTTTGTTTCTGCTACGAGAAACACGAAGGATTGGTTATAAAATAACTCCATTCCAAGGGGCATGTTCTGGCTACTACTGAGAGTGGTTTCATGGTGTGAATTTTCGACATCTACCTAGCACAGAGTGACTAATTTAGCAGCAACCACCTGGTCTCTATATGACTCAAATACTGCCAGTTCCATCTGACATTACCATGGCTCCAAAGTGCCACCCAAAAGACACAGATGGGCATTGAACGAGCCTTTACTCAAAAAGTGAAAGAAAGGCCAAAGTGAAGATTGCATATGCAAGTTGGCATCATTACCTACTTCTGATACAGCTTCTGAACTGGAGTTTCTCTAAATTTCTCTTGTAATAATTTTAGAGTTTTGATCAGAGCCATGCTATAGAGCTTACGTTCAACTTTTAAAGTTGAATTTCATACCATTACAGCAGACGTTCCCAAAGATATAAGAGAGCAGGCAGATCACAACTAACCACTTAAAAAGGAAGACAAAGGACCAGCGCTCAGTGCACAAGAAAGAAATTAATAAACTTCAAGGATTGGTTCATGCCACAATAGCCTGAGTGTATGTGGCATCCTTGAATATTTGCAACTACTAGACCTGCTGGGTTATTTAAAATATTTGTTTTATGTTGTTCATCCTAAAATAAGGGCTATGGATTGGCTCTTCATTGCAGTGCATCACTTACTCCCATCCTCCAATTAGACACTATTGTTCTTCTCCACTATTACCATATTAAGAACGAGTTTATGGCTGCTGCATGGAAACACCGTTTTCTACCAGAACCTTACTCTAACATCTCTATCTATGCTTAATGAGACTTAATTTAATGAGCCTGCCACTAGGGCACAGCTCAATAAAGTTATACAGACCTATTTTGATCTTAATCTTTACAATTCTGCTTCCATTTATAATACAT